ATGATACACACACATATACAATAACAGTAAACAATTGTTGTTGCGTTATAAATAAATGTACATATGTATACTTAATAGTTAGCAGTGATTGTGCCCTGCGCTCTGTGTCCACCCTCCACAAGACGTCCCTATAGACTTCCTGTGATAAAAGTTCATAACGATACTGACACTTTACAAATATGTAAGTATATATGTGCATGCATATATTATAAAACGAGTAATGTTGCATATATCGCCAACTACATATACTCCTATAAATTATATATGTATTTATATGCATACAAATACATATCTGTATGTACATACATATGTACTCATATAAATTCTGTATATAATCACTTAAACTCGTAGAGTTTTATTTTTGTTATATTGAATGCCTGATATTCCATTTTATGTGTTGAATACAATGCTCGCGACAGACTGCAAACTGCATCTGTCAAATATTAAAATACACACGTTCTTATATACGGACCTATTTTGACAGCTGCACGACTACACGACGGCAGGCCGACAGTTGTCGTTCTCGCTAACTTCAATTTATTCCTATGTTTGCCAACGACAGTAGCGTTGACAGTAGAATGGAAGATAGAGAGATGAGGTAGAGTGGTGATGCCACTAATATGTRAAATGTAAAATTACTCAAAGCTCTAACAAACCTGACGTTATTTTACAAATAAAAGCTATGTTACATCATTTATAATAATAATTGATAATTTCAAACAAATAAATTTAACTATTTACTTATTTTTTGCTTAAAAATTTCACTTTGAACAAAATATTAAAATTTCATTGAAGTGCAAGGTATTAGCCACAACGAAATTGTGTACATGCAAAATGGACAACTGCGTTGTTTTGTGTTCATTGTGTTCCGCACATTACACACCAATTATATTGAGCAATATCGTTCGTTGCTACTTAAGATGATGGGTGGTTCGTCTGCAAGTTATTGTAAAAAGTTCTAACTGAAATTATATTATTATAATTATTAATTAGTATCTGTCAGCTATTCTCAGACCCCGAGAATTTGAATTTTGTTAAACCCTTTGTAAAACTGTTAAAAAAGAGAGACCAGTTTGTTTAACTGGAATATATTGTTGATATTGATATCATTGGAACTATAATTGATCCCATGTCCGACAACACTAACGAAAAAAAAAAAATTGAATGACAATAGTGTATTCAATGGTACAAATATGCAATGGATTCGCAATGCTCTTCAGAAGCGAATTTTTACAAAAGTAGCTGCCAGTTGAGTTCTGGAACCTATTTTCTTCTTATACCCTGAACAGGGTAGATCAAGTTTGTAACACCTAGAAAAAAGCTCTGGAGATCGTATTAAAATATGTGTAAACAATCAGCATGACGAGCTGAGTTCATTTGGTCATGTCCGCCCATTCGTTCTCGAACTAATCCCTCAGTTTTTGAATTCAGATCTAAAATTTGACACACGTCCAAAAAAAGCTACTCATATGTAAGAACTACCGATATCGGTAGCTGTCATACAAACATAGAATTCGGAGTTTAGTCCTTAACAAGTTTCTCATTTGAAAAGATGACCTCATGAAATTTGTCATGGATTATTGCCGAAAACGGTGGTACTACTACAGCATATATCTGTCATACAAACTAAAATATACATATTCCTCTTTATTGGCGTAGATACCGCTTGCGACGTATTAGCCGAGTTTACAACAGCGCGATAATCCAATTGGAGGTTCTAAGTGTAGCCAGGTCCTTCTCCACCTGGTCTTTCCAACGGAGTGGAAATCTTCCCCTTGCTCCGCTTCTCACGGCGGCCATTCGGACGACATTACCTAGATAATAGCGGAGCTGCTGGTTGGGGGATGATGAGTGACTTGTAGAGTTTATCTCAGTTCGTCAAGAGAGGACTTTACTTCTCAATTGCCTAGACTAAAGTTTCAGCTTTAAAAACAAACTACGTGCTGCTACCATAAAGTTACCTATAAGTTTTTAAACATTTTTAAGTATCCTTTTCCTCTTCATTAAACTACTTTTGGTTTTTGGCGTACGGTAAAGTCAGCGTCTTGCTGAACCTCGATGCTACAAAGTCCACTGAAATTGTTAGTTCGTCACGCCTTATCCGGATATAAGACTGAATCTCCTTTTTTTTGTTACTCTCAGCACGGTAATGCTATTCGTACAATCTTTTAAGAGCCTTCTTACATAATTACGGTTCATAATTTCAGAACAATTTATTCTTAATCACGGATTATACTTTAATTATATACTTATCTATTATGTAAATATGTAAACAGTCTATATCCACAAAGGTGCGCGTGTAATTCCCTCAGATCTCAAGATTTCCGAAATGAGCTGCGCTTAATATGCCATCAAATAGTCACAAAAGCAACAAATGTAAGTGTGCATATGAATTGATTTGACTATAAACTGGGACTTACTTATAGTTAGACAGAGGCAGTGCGTGAGGGGAAGAGAGAGAGAGAGAGCAAGAGAAGTGCGGAAAGAATTACAACACGCTCTTAAAAACATAAAACTTCAAAGCGCCGCCTTTGTTGTGGCCTTTTTCTTACACATTTTCATTTTTAACTACACGAATGATCGAAAAAGTTGCACTCACAGATGGAGAAAAAAATGAAAAAGTGGAAACGTAAAAAGAAAACTATGAAAAGTAAATTATGTATTTGGTGCACAGTGCATCCCCGCCAAAATAACCTTTTGATGTTGTCGCCTGCTTTGACGTATTGACTCGCACGCATACCCACACATCTGTAGATACAATAACAATATATGTGTGTATATATGGCTGTCTATAAGTAGGTGTGTGTGTATATGAAATTGTGCGCAATTGTTTGTATATTTGTATTGTCTCAATATTTACCTTTACTAATTACGGTGTTGGGGACTTTGAAAAGTGCCGATTTTTGAACCAACAAATAAACGATATTATTGCCTTAAACGCGCACATACAAACATGTATATATGTACATGTAAAATCGTATGTGTGTATATTGAGTTATGTGTTGAAAAATTAATTAAAATATTTGCCTTTTTAAAACAACTGATTTGTGGAAAAGTCATAATTTGCCTGAAACAATGTAGAAATAATTAAGGTAAACACAACAACATCGCTCAAAACATCATAATTGCATAAGTAAACAATTAATTTGTATGTAGGTGTTATTTGCAGAAATTTAACGGCAAAGTGTGAACTAAATGACAGCGTCAATTGGATTTGTCAATTTGTTGGCTTGTCATTTCGAGCCGGTTATTTACAGATAATGCCTCTATTTTCGTATATTATACGTTTTTATTTTCTTTTTTTACATTTTCTAGTTTTATGTTTATTTTTATTATTATTATTGTTTTCATTGTGGTTGTTGTACTTTACAAAGTAATAAAAGATGCCAAGAAAGAAAAACAAATACTTCATTGTTGTATTATTGCAAAAAAATATATGCAATTAGCCGTTTAATTTATTGCTATTAGAACAACAATAAATACACATGCCCATACTATGTATGTACATACATATCTAATACATTCATTCATATTACTGTCCTGCAACATTTTTATTATTTGCTTAGTTGATAATAAACGTACTTGGGCCAATTACCGCTACTCTATTACGAACGACTTTTAAAGAGATAACTTTTAGTGCAAATTTACATATATATTTTTATGCATAATGCTAGCGGAGTTTACTTATTCTTATGATTACAATAATTTATTCCTTCATATTGCAAAATATCTATAAAATACTACTTTTGACAAAAAATAGTAAGACTTTTTAATTTAAATTTCGCGCGAAAAGCCATGCGTGGAAATGCTTTTTTGTTCTTTTTGATGTTGATGTTCTTTTTCTACCCAGAGGATACTTGGTTTATGACCAGAAGACGTTGTAAAATAAAACAAGCGTTTCTGGCCACTCCCAAGAGAACTAATCGAATCTGAATGGCAATCAGAGAACTTTCCTTACTTATGTGAATTTCTACACATGACATCTGTATCAAATGTCACAACAAATCATTGGTAGTATAGGCGTGTCTTTCTAAAGTACATAATTTGCATTCGGCGGTTTTTACGATAAGTCAAATTATTCAACAAAGAAGTTCCGTTAAATTTTGTGTGCGGAATCAAACTTCTGATGCCGAAACGTTCAAAATGCTGGAAAAGGTCTTCGCTGATAATTGTTTGTCGCGAGCAAGTGTTTTTGATTGACAAGTGTGGAGAACGTCTTGACGACGAAGCACGTCCAGGACGGTCATCAACATCAACCGATGATCAACACGTCAATAAAACAAAGTAATTGGTTTACGAATCGACCATTAACATTCAAAGATACTAGTGGCATGGTTGGAATATCGGAAAGATCGGTGAAAACTATTTTAATATATTATTTTTATTATAAAAGTGAAAGCATGGTTGGTTAAAAAATTATTCAATTTTTTCGATAAACTGCTTCGCGTTAACATCTGTGAAACATTGATTTGAATAAGCATAAGGACCTGCAACCTTCTTTTATATGGGTTTAGAAATAATAGTCTGTTATGTTCATTTCCTTGCTCTTATATGGGCACTGTGGAGTCTGTTTCCTGTTTAGGTGCTAAATATTTGTTATATGATAGAGATCGTCGGTAGTTTTGAGTTCAGTCTTAAAGACAATGGTTTTATTAGATTTCTAAAAATCATAAGTGTTGTAATAGTTCCAAAAGGATTGAAAAAACATTGATCTGACTTTGAATTCTTTACCATTATCATAGTTTATACCGATAAAATTTGCCGAAACTTCAAAGGTGCTTAGATTGTTAGATTATTGCAATGCTTATCTTACAGTTTTTTTTAACCTTTTTGACTAAAAAAATAAGAAACTTGATTCTTTTAGGGATTACAGGAATATATATTAGGTAAAAGTTCGAAATAAAATTCTCCACTTATTGATCCCTATCTGCATTTTATTTCGCAACCTTTTTTAAATTTTAACTACAACTGTTTTTACATATGCTTTTTTCACTTTACAGATGCCTGCACAATATGGAACTTGCGATTTGTAAAACAGAGTTGCCAACTACCAGATTTATGCTACCAACTGCACCGGCCTCCTTCTATCAGAAGAATAACGCTCACTTCAGTGAGATACTCAATTTTAACACCAATTATCTATTCAATAAGAATAATATAAACAACAACAATAGTAATAGTAATAATAGTCAAAATAACAACAGCAACAATCATAATAATAGTGCCAGTGTGAGTGCAAGTGCAATTATAAATAATAATAGTCAAAATATTAGTGCTAACAATAACAACAACCATAATACTAATTCAATTTTGTGCAACAACGGTAATAATAATAACAACGCAAGCGGCAGCATGCGTCTGAAAAAGAATCGGCGAGTGACGTTCCTAAAGAATCTGATCGAGGTGAGTTATTTCCTTCACGAAAAAAAAAATATATATATAAAATAATCCAATCAAATCAAACAAAACTTCAAAATTTGTAGAATAATTGAGAGAAAAGGTGATGTTGTCTTATTAAAATGCAAGTTTTGCATTTAATATGCATCGCATGTGGGGGCATTTGCATAATTTGCTGTTTTCTTACATACGTACATAAATATTTATATATGTATATGATCCAATATATGTATTTTTACTCCTATATTACTTCATATTTCACTGCATTCAAAAGTGAGGGTGCATTAGGGGTGCTCTTCTTTTTATCATAATTTGTTTTTCTCTTTTCGCACTTAATCCGTCTCCTCAATAGAAAAAAGGTCTTTCAAACAAAAATATTTAAAAATATATCTGATTTTATATACCCGACCATATCCAAATTTATCACTTTAGATATCTCACACGCTATTCGCTCGTAAACTTTTTATACATTATAAAAAAGTGCATCCCTAGTGCACCAGTTGCATGTGGAGGAGTTCGTTTTTTCACTTGATCACCCGATATACTTATGATAATATGTATGTATATATGCAAGCACATAATTAGTTTTGGTTCGTTTAATGACAGTGACTGCGTTTGTTCTTGGCATAAATACCGCAGCCCATAATTTGTGCAAAGTGAAAATGTGATAAAAATGCTAAACATTTAAGTGTTATATGCATTTTTTTTTCGCGTATGTACATACATGTAAGATCTTCAAGACGTTCACTCACTAAATGTGGAATATGTAGAATATATTTTCTTGACCCACTGAAAATAGCCCTCCGTAGCTCTGATCTCAACTGAGATCACAACCTTCAATTTCAGACAGCAAATAGTCGGTTATCATTGCGCTGTAACGATCGCCACTGACGGTTACGTTCTGACCGACTTCATTTTTGAAGAAATATGGACCAATGATTCCATCGGCTCACAAATCACACCAAACCGTTTTTTTTTTCTGGAAGAAGTATCAGCTCTTGATTCTCTTCAGGTTGCTCTTCGTCCCAAATGCGGGAATTTTGCTTGTCTACATATCCATTGAGTAAGAAATGGGTCGCATCGCTGAACATAATTGGGCTGGAAAACTTCTTGGAACTTTTCAAGAACCCATAGAACGAAAGGATATCGCTTGAGAAAGTCGAGCGGCTGAAGATCTTGAAGAAGCTGCTATTTTGTACGTTTTTAATTAAAAATCTCCACGTAAAATGTGCCAAGTCGTTTCATACGCCAGTCTGAGTTGCTGCGAACGCGCCGAATCGACTCGTCAGGGTTTTCACTCATCGTCCGGCTGTTATATTTTCGATACAGTGTGCTGGACGTAGTCTATTCGGTTAAATATTATCCAATAATAAATGCTGGGTATCAATGTATCAAAAGTTGAGCAAACCGCACGAAATACAAAACGTGCATTTTTACAGAACATGCATTTTCGTAATAAAGGTTAATGATTTTTAAACGTTAAATAAAGTAATATGATAGCTTGACACGCCTCATGCGAGATCTGTCAAAAACAGGGTATTTAAAAAAGTACCTCTACTTAAATCATCAGTTACCTTAACTGTAGCTTTTGATGAAAACGATGTTAGCTGCCGTTGATGAGGTGATCATAAATCACACCAACTAGGGATAGAGAGGTTTTGGTACATTGTAGTCTCCCCAAAGATACCTCAGAAGTAAATCTGTTTATTTCTTACAGTCAAAAGTCTATAATCTTTATTAGTAGATCGGCATACAATTTTGTTCTTAGTGGAATTTCTGAGTCAGATAAGATCAAATTGCAGAATTCTTCTGTGTATCTTGGAATTATTTTCAATTTTTTACTTCGTTTCACGATGATATAGAGCCCTCACATTTATTTTCCCAAATTATTTCTCCATTCTATTATGATAATAACCATACTCTATAAGAAAGATTTGATAATGTAGTATCCGTAATATTGAGGTAACTGCTTTTAAGGGATAAAGAAATTTGGAGGGAGTTTCACTTTTTTTATCAAGGTAAATATGTTCCAGCAGAGGTGGATAAATATTTGGCAAATTGACAGAAAAATGTGTCTGAAAAGAGAATTTCACAACAACTGCAAGCGTTTTTGGACGTCTTGGAACCATTGTCTGTTGTTCTGTATATAGATCTAGTTCCTCATATTGGAGATATCGATCTAAAATTTGGTACCTGCTCTTTTCTTACCAGCTGCTCATTGCACGGTTGATATCGGACCCCTTTAGCATATAACTACCATACAAACTGTATAATTTGAATCAAGCTCTTCTAACCTTTTGTATTTGTTAAAGGTATTATTCGAATAAAGGATAGAAATAGATTATTTTAAAATAATCAATGATCAACTGATTTTAAGAAGAGAATATCAAGGTAAAATGTTTATAGGCTTTAAAAAGTGATTTTCGCATATTCGAAAAAAATAATAGAATGTAGATTATTTGAGGTTACACCTATGATTGACCAATTTTTATAAGTGAATATCAAGGTAAAATATTTATAAGCTTTAAAAATTGATTCTCGTAAATTCGAGAAAGAATAGAAATATTTTAGGTTACACCTATCATTACTCGGTTTTAAAAATATAATAAGAAAAAGGTTTATAGGCTTAAAATAGTGAAATAGTGAATTCCTCAAAAGAGGAAAATAGGTTATTTGAAGGTTATCTGCAATAAACCGTTTTTATTATTTAAGTTAAAGCTATATACGTTCAAAATTGCAATTTTCGAAAATTCGAAAAAAATAATAGAATGTAGATTATTTTAGGTTACATCTATGATTGACCAATTTTTATAAGTGAATATCAAGGTAAAAGATTTATAGGCTTTAAAAATTGATTCTCGTAAATTCGAGAAAGAATAGAAATATTTTAGGTTACACCTATCATTACTCGGTTTTAAAAATATAATAAGAAAAAGGTTTATAGGCTTAAAATAGTGAAATAGTGAATTCCTCAAAAGAGGAAAATAGGTTATTTGAAGGTTATCTGCAATAAACCGTTTTTATTATTTAAGTTAAAGCTATATACGTTCAAAATTGCAATTTTCGAAAATTCGAAAAAAATAATAGAATGTAGATTATTTTAGGTTACATCTATGATTGACCAATTTTTATAAGTGAATATCAAGGTAAAAGATTTATAGGCTTTAAAAATTGATTCTCGTAAATTCGAGAAAGAATAGAAATATATTATTTTAGGTTACACCTATCATTACTCGGTTTTAAAAATATAATAAGAAAAATGTTTATAGGCTTAAAATAGTGAATTCCTAAAAAGAGGAAAATAGGTTATTTGAAGATGTATCTGCAATAAAACGTTTTTATTATTTGAGTTAAAGCTATATACGTTCAAAATTGTAATTTTCGAAAATTCGAAATGAAAATAGTGATTTTCGAAAATTCGAAAAAAGATAGAAATCGATTATTTTAGTTCTTACTTATGATTAACCCATTTTAACAAGAGAATATCAAGGAAAAAGGTTTACACATAGGCTAATAAAAGAAAAAATACATACATATGTTATACCTACGACGAAACGATTTTATTATGTTAGTAAAAGATATACATATGTACATGTCAAGTAGCGATTTTTGAAAACTCGAAATTAGAATAGTGATTTTCGAAAACTAGACTTTACAATATTGGTTTTCAAAAACTGCAAATTAAAATCTTGATTTTCGAAAGTTCTAAATTTTAGAATTAATTAATTCTTCAAAAAAATTTTTAATTAATGCCGTAATAATATTTAGAGCTTTTCTTGATTTTAATCATGTTTCGAACATATCATTAACTTTGACTTGGTTGTAAACGTTCGTAACCTTGAATGTATATTTTGACCGGTTTATTATAAAAAACCAATTTACAGAAACAATTTTTGGTTCGAAAAAAGTTGATTTCCAAATAAAAAAGCAGCGAACACAATTTTTCTGGCATCAAAGGACAAGTTGTCAGTGTGTTCGAACCACTTGTGTAGTATGTTCGTTCCGTCACTCTCTAATCGAAGACAGCTCTCATTGAATATCAGATTGCTTGAAGTCATCGTGATCACTCAACTCTTCTTTTCCTTTGCCGCATATCCTAACCTCACAAGCTGAAACGTAAGCTGCCAAGGCAAAGCATATTTTATGATACACACTGATATTAGCTAATTGTGCGATAAATGTTTAACGAAATAAATGTTACGAAGCCGTGAAACTGTCATTTAAATCAAAGGAATTGCGTTTGCAATCGCTTCCATTATAAATTACTTTGATTTATCACTTTGCTCGATCGTTCGCTGTCTTCCGCTGCGTTCGCATAAAGTTCACATTTGTAGATACTATATGAATACGTAAATATTATATATGCATATGTATATATAATACATACGTATGTGTGTGTGTGTCTATAGCAGATCAGAGTTTGGATGCCGCTGTGTAGGACAAGACACTGGGGCTAGGCAGCTACTACTTACGCGTTCGCAAATCATTCAAATACACAAACGCAAACATATTTATATACATACAACACACACACGTTTACATACATATTTATTTATATCCTCTTTTGCGGGCGAAGCTTTGGAAATTAACGTGTGCCTCGACTTATCGGCCATGCCAGTCACGTTATTAGCCAGATTTGTGCAAAGCCAAATGCAACTGGCTATTCTTTTCACACACGCACACACATATACATATGTACATATATATATTTGCATGCATAAACATACACACTCGCATTGCAATTATTGTTTTTTTTTAGTTGTTGGCTGTCATTTAAAGTGCTTATGCAAATACACACAAAGAAATATTAATATTAATGCACACACACATACATACAAATGTACACATATGGACGCAAAGCATTTGCACGCGCTGAGTGACAGTGTTGACAACGATGAGTGTCTTTAAATAGACATATTTATCCTTAGAATGTGTGCAGGCAGGTAGCATACACCTACTTGGGTAGATCGTCGCGTATATGTATTTGTTTGCGTGTAGGCACGCTT